TAAGAAAGTCACCATCGTATGTCCGAAATTCTACCCACTTCGTGGAAATAATCAAAAATGCTCCTATTCAATCCAACTAGATTAAGTTGTGAGCCTGGACGTTAGTTTTGTATACACAGAGGAGGTACTATCGGTAATCAGGGAGAGATTGGCCTCGGACTCATCTCTAGAAGAACATAATAATATACAAATAGATAACCTGATGAAGATGCTGACTTTCTGTATACAAACAACATACTTCGGAATGGAATCAAACATACACTATTTACATTATTCGGACTATTATACGCTCTGGCCTTCTTCAGGTGGTTGGAATGTCGAACTGGACCCTTTTATTTCACTCGCTGAGGTAGACTGTTCTAGTTCCACGTGCCATGTCTAATGGATGTCAGTTATCAGTAATCTCCTGTTAATTCACCTCTCCAAGTAATTCACCTCTACAAGTTCTCCACTGCCTCAACCAGGTATTGAACTCACAACTCTTTGGGTCCTGTTACTGGATTTACGCCTTTATCCACTGTGCCATGTGTCCTTAAGGATATCTGTGTATGAATTTCTAGGAGTTATAAACTTAATATCTTCAGCAACCATTTTTACCAGTGCTCATATTGCAATTTCCGTTGTTACTATCGATTTTCTCTGGCACTTCTTATTACTGGTTCCCATATTGTATTCGTTTCTATGCTTGGTCGGCTCAGGAGATTTTAAGATAGTGAAATTGGCTCAGACGTTTGAATTTTATATTATATTTCTGGGGGAAATTTTGTGATGCTCGCAGACCATGTGCAGAGAACGACTTCACACCGGTTTTGATGCGGAATGAATCAGAAAGAGGTCTAAATTTTAAGCAAAGTATAACAGCTGCTTTTCCATTTTAAATATCATTAAACCTCCTTTCGTGTTTGATCACCCACAGTCGGTGCTTACTACACGCGAATTCCATGAATGCAAGCTCGATTGGGGCCCCGGGCAGTGCTTTGTGACCCTCGTTATCTTATCAACATTTGCTTTTTTTTTCTACCTACATTTATACGTTGTAAATTAAAGTACAACTGAATATTAAAAGACGAAAACATTTCGCGGAATTTGACGTCATTCTAATTTTTGTTTTTCCGTCCAAATCCGTCAATTTGTTTTGATCATGACAAGTCTCGAAAAAAAAAAGAAGACTTTATAAAATTTACTATTTTTTTTTATCCATAATGTTGAATGTGCTAAAATTATTAAACTTTTAACAAGAAAAATCTCAAGTTGATGTTAAAAATTGCCGCAAAACATTGTTGATTTATTTAAGATGAAATGACCTATTATGACATGCCTCTAAATTGTATTTAGATACATTGTATTTATTTTCAGTGTTTCTAGTTGATTTGTTCATCTGTATTGCATATTTTGCATTATTGTACATAATTAGATTACAATAAAATTTGTATTTTATCGAAATACTATCTTATAAAAATTGAAATGTAGTAGAGTGGGGGGGTATCACAGATTGAGGAAACACGAGACCTTTGCACCGGCCCTGTGATCACCCGACAAATATTTGACCTTATTATTTAACAAGGAATAAGTCAAATGTTCATGATTCGTGAAGCAGCTTTCTGAATATCTCTGTCAAATAACTGAAAGGAGTTTCTGGTTTTAGTCATAGTCTTTGTGTAGTTTTATTTGCTTACTGAAAATAAAGCTATAATAAGTGCGCGCGTATAAATCGACTATATATATTAAATGCTATACAGTCGTCCCTCGCTACTTCGCGCTTCGACTTCCGCGGGTTCACTCTATCGCGTTTTTTTTTTTTTTGTTTGTTTTTTGTTTGTTTTTTTGGGGGGGGGTTCAGATCTTTTCATCAAAAAAATCATCGCGGTTCCTTGTTGCTTCGCGGTTGACTACGGTTGCGGGTGTTCTGTGGGTCACTTTTTGTTGATGCGTTTGGCTGCGTATTGGCACAAAGTAGTCCGCAAACAAAATTATTCAGAAGATATTAAGTTGACAATAAACCAAGTACAATACAACAAGCCAATAGTATTCGATTAAAATAAAGCCAAATTTTATTTTTGGCAACAAAGACAAAACTACATACAAAAATATTTATGCAAATAAGATAATTGATTTCAAGGATGTGCTGAGAAGAAAGCATCGAACTATACTTATTAGTCCTTCCAAGATATAAAGAATGTTTATGCAAATGATTTAGAGGAGCAGTAACCTTTCTTGTGCAGTACATCTCTTCATCGCTTTATCATCGAACAAGTTGCATTATTTTCCTAAGTTCACACTAACCTAAAAAACTAATGCAACTTGTTCGATGATGAAGCAATGTACACATAAGAACTTAGTGCATGATTTTAATGTACAATAATAACATGATATTTGTAACGTCTAATATGTCTTATTTTCTTTTATTTTGTTTAATATATTGGGTAATATAAGTGTAAAGGTGACTACAGGGGCGTTATTTCATGTCTAAAGAGCTTATATAATGGCAAAAAACCGTATTTAGAAGGTCGTAAACGGTTTTTCTATGCTCTAACTACGAAAATATTCGATTTATAAATAAAGAATCCGACTTCGCGGAAATTCACTTATCGCGGTAAAGTCAGGAACTGATTAACCGCTATAAACGAGGGACGACTGTATAAAGAAATATTTATCTTTTACGTGTCCTGTACCTTCAGGACGTGAACGATCATGGCTCTCCACAACTTCGGATCATTTGTAGTTGGATGTTTCCCTCCTTACTCGCCCTCCTATTCGTCAGGCATTTTGGGCTTCATCTAAAGTGACTTTACTTCTTTTTTGTCTACCGTCCATTCAATACGCTTCCCAGGCCCTGGTTCGAGAGACAGGCTAAGATCACACGCGAAGGGAGAGTAAGCCAACGGGCGATATGCATTCTCTCGACGTCCTTCCTTCCGATGAAAATGAGAATCCAAGCTGCCATTTGTCCTTCTTCTCTAAGAAATACGAGTAAGAAAAAGAAATTTGTTAATTCCATTGTAGTGGTAGCATGGCGGGTGCCACTAGTTGAGGGTTCATGGCGTGGCTGTTATGTTGTTTATAGAAGTCAGACGTAGAAGAAACGCAAGTAAGGTTCAGAAACTCCTGCCCGCCGAGCCCAACTACATAAAAAGGTTGGACTTTGATTAAGTCCAAAGAAGAAGGCAAAGAAAGCAAACAAAACACAAGACCGATAATATATGTATATACAAATATATATTAATAACAAGTTACAATACATGGAAACAGTACAAAGGACGAAGTGTGTGTGAATATTCTGTATGTGCGTGCGTGCGTGCGTGCGTGCGTGCGTGCGTGCGTGCGTGAATATTCTGTATGTGCGTGCGTGTGTGAATATTCTGCTTAGCGTGTTTCCACGCTATCCCTTGTTAGCGCCTACATTTCGAGGTTGATAGCTGAAATCCTGAAGGAAAAAGAGTGTGTGTGAATATTCTGTATGTGCGTACGTATGTGAATATTCTGTATGTGCGTGCGTGTGTGTGTATTGTGCTTAGCGTGTTCCCACGCTATCCCTTGTTAGCGACTACATTTCGAGGTTGATAGCTGAAATCCTCAAGGAAAAAGAATTTACCTCAAGGTGTCAGTGCACAGGCCTGAAGGAAAAAGAGATAGAGGTGAAGAGTCAGCGGCTATTTATAGCCAGGGAAGAGAGACCCCTGGTGAAAGGGTTAACGGAGTGAAGGAGGAGTTAACTCCAACACCATCTTTACAATAGCGTTGGGATCCAATGATGACACGGATATTCTCATTATTCTTCTGTAGGTCCAGATCTTTATTGCCTCAGGTTTTCCTCAGTGGGGGAATTGTACAGGCTTCACTGTCATAGAGGAATATGGATATGTCGTAGTAGTTAAGCACTCTTTGTTTCCAACGAAATTTTACTTACTCTATATACACGAGTACCATGCGACTTTTAAAGACATCATTTTGAAGCTAATCTTAAGTTGGTCGACTCATACACAAGATATAAAATTAGCGTATGTACTGCTGGCCCTGGATACGCCGTTGACCAAACTAGATATCCATTTACTGTAATCAAAAAGTATAGCTGTATTTAAAATAAACATGATTTTAATAATAAAAAAACTGATGTTTTACTTAACTGCATGCAATAATAATGCTTGTAATAATAACATATTAATATCGTATTCAAAAATACAAGCATAGCATGTATTTTTTCCATTGTATACGTTTATAAGATGTTTAAGTTAACTGTTTCTCGTTCGGTTGTGGAATCTTCCACAATAAACCAGCCTTTCCTCTTTTTAGGAAAGGCACTCTTCCTATCTGGTAAATAACATCCTACTTTCATGAAAAATATCAACGAGAAACCATTGGTCAATCACCTTCAAACTAGCTCGTTGATTGGTCAGTTCCGACCAATCAAACCGCCTGCGCGCGACAAATCTGTTTTACCGCGTTTTCCATCTGAGCCAGTCACGTGATACAGGCAGATATATATGCCCAACACGTGTGATATTCTCTCTCTTTGTTTCTGCTCTTCCTGACTCGAGCCTAACTTATCTACGTCACTCGTACATCTCAACACGCCGCCAAAATGTGACCCTAAAGGAACTTCCGTCTCGACTGAATCCAGTCAGACGTTAAATGAACACTACTTAATTCATGCAAGTATTATCTTTGAACTCTACCCAACTTGTTCATACAATTCCAAACACTCAATATTACAGTTTAATATTACTTTCTCATAATATGAACACAAGTACAACTATTTACCTAATCAAAGAGACACAACTCTGTCTAGCCTTTTCACTCAGTATTCATGCATGTATACCAAACACTAATAAGTTCAATTGTTACGTTTGAAACAATATGTTTGTGAATCATTATTTCTCCTTTCTTGTCTAACGTCAAGAGTTTTTGATCTTCATAAAATAAATAATAGGGAAAGAGGCCTTATTTGGAAAGTACATCTTGCTTTTGCCATCTTTATCCCCAGAGAGAGAAATTAACCAAATATGTTCAGCGCCCCTACATTTGGTAACCCGGCGTTCAGATTAACTCCCTACACGGTTGTTTATGGCCGTACGCGTTTACGCAACGAGTATAGCGTTACTTTTATCATTCTCTTTTACATTTTTAACTTAACTAGAAGATGAAATAAAGAGATAAAGGAAAAGAGGTTAGTCTATTGTAATTTGGTCTCTCAAAAAAGGAACTCGCATGATACACGAGATACATAATAGAATCATTTTTGTAAGTAAAAATTTGGGAGTCGCACGATACGAGAGATCGCGCGTTACACGAGTATATACGGTACTCGTGACTATAAAGTAAAAACTGACTTTAATAACCTGTAAAGTGATGATAAGCAATAGAAAACGAAAAAGTTCATCATGGTCGATTTGTCAGGAAGGTGATTTTATGATGTTATCTAAGGCGGGTGCGATCCAAGTGAGCGATACTATTGGGGAAAAAAAAACTGAAAACAAAACTATACAGTTACTTATATGAAATGGACAAAGTCCGACAATTATTTTAAGACATTTTATGTTTATACGTTCTTTTTATAGATACAAATATTTAAATAAATGTTCTGTTTATAATAAACAGTACTAACGACATTTACCAGCCTGAATGTCCGAGAAATTTTAATACAAAATATGCGTCCTCCGTCAGGAATCGAACCTGTATCCTATAGGGAACCATCATATTGCCTGACGTGCTTTACCGATTTAGCCACAGAGGTGCGTTTTGGTTAGCAAGGAAGTTATGTGACGTCATTTGTTTACATTTGGATACGCATCGAGCAGATATGAATGTACGAGAGAAAATCATGGAGAATTGTAGCTTAAAAACAGTAAAATCAACCTTGCTTACCGAAACGCTCCTCTGTGGCTAAATCGGTAAAAGCACGTCAGTAAATATCAGTAAATCGGTAAATATCGTTAATACTGTTTATTATAAACAAAGCATTTACTTAAATATTTATATCTATAGAAAGAACGTATAAACGGTTATATATATTGCATTATTATTATTATTATTTGTAATATACCGTACCACTAATGGGTATGTCCCAATCCTCATAAACATGTTGGACACTATTGTAAATCGGCTTAATATGCTGTCTAAGTAGTCCACCACTAGCAGTGGTTTACCTGCTTCACGCTGCTGGCGAGTATTTTATTTTGTTGATGTTATAAAGATTAACATTTCATTTCCAACCTCCGTTTTGGTTATTCCTCATTCAGTAACCCCTCCTAGGTTACAACATTATTATTATTATTATTATTATTATTATTTGTGTATGTAATGTTTCCTGCTTTCTACCCTGTAGAGCCGGGTCCAAGGAATGGTCCTCAAGCCCTAGAGGAGAATTGCCATTTAATTGATTGCTCTTTTCTTAATATATGGAATGTTCCTAGTAGGGCGCGTCTTCTGGGCAACTTGTATGTTGATGTTACCTTGGACACTGTTAGTAAAACTGTCCATTGCTTTTCTCACGTGGCCCAGAGATCCGATTATCATTGGTACAATCTTCAGTCTTCATTCTCCACATCCTGTTAATCTCGATCTCCAGGTCATTATTATTATTATTATTATTATTATTATTATTATTATTATTATTATTATTATATGTTAGTTGTGTGGAAACAAAAAGGACACTTAGAATCAGAAAGAGACAATTAAAATTCCGAGGGTACATAATGAGGAAAGATGGCTTGGAGAATTTGACACTCACGGGACATATTGAAGGCAAGATGGACAGAGGGCATAACATACCTAATGAGATTGAGTAAGTGATTGGCCAAACAGGGATTAGGACAAATAGAAAAAAAGACAAACCTTACTAAGAATGAAAAAGAACAGGAAGTTGTGGAGTGCCACGATTCCACAGCAAAGAGACATGGCATATAGAAGAAGACTATAAATTCATGCACACAGAAAACACATATGTATATATTAATATTGTTCTATTCTATTTATTTATTCTTTTTGTCACTGTGCAATGCATATTAAAATTAAACAGCAGTCCCTAGGTGCACCAACACACACACACACAACACGCACAGCATCATATGAAGAAACGTAACGAAATTTAAAATACATTGAAAATTGACAGCATGCGGTAACGTTCATTTTACGCAGGGCCCAAAGATAAAAGCTGTCCCCTAAGCGCCTTGTCACAGAACTAATTAAACGAAAACTTGGCCCTGAGTTTTTAGTTAAAACAAGTTGTACCCGGGATGCGTACTGTCTTTCATTATGTTTTCTGCTCTGTTGCGACAATGAGGATTAGAAATGTCCGATAAGGAAGGCAGCCAGCGGCTGATTATTTTCTAGGCAATAGCTATAATCCTTTGGAGGGGGGGTGTTCTGTTGTCCGCTGTCGAGCAGTTGGAATAGCAAACAGTGATGCAATGCGACAGCACACTCTCAATCGAGCAGTGGTAGAAGTTCATCAACAGCTTTCTTTGTAAATGTTTTTTTTTTTCTGAAAATTATTCTTCATATTGTATTATATAAATATACACGGACCGGAACTAATATGCGTATTTCCTTTTAAAACCAACGCCTGATTCTATTTTAATTTCTTTAGAGACAATTGAAAAATTCTAAGACAGACATCGATCTCGAGTCGCTTTCATCTCTCATCAGCTTCTCTTTCTCTCATTCTTTATCGCTCTCTCGCTCTCGCTCTCTCTCTCTCTCTCTCTCTCTCTCTCTCTCTCTCTCTCGTCTTTTCTCTATGATTCACTTTCCTTTTCCCATACACTTTTATCGATCAGTCTTTTTTTTTCTTCCAAGACGCCATTCCCCTCACCCCAACCGACTAGACGTTCGAAGACGGCCATCCAGCCATTCGTTTAAACAAGTCTAATCTTATTTTGTCAAACTCTTAGTTCTGGTAACAATGCGTCCAACTAATTCGCTTTCTTCTTGTCTACTGAAAGTTTAAGCTAACCTTGTTATCAATACGTTTACGTCTTAATATTGCCTCCTTTCTCCAACTGCTAACCCTATTCGGTCGCCAGTGAACCTACAGAAATAGACAACAATACGTATAGCAGAAGTATTCACTCAAATCAGTGCGTGGGAGATTGATTAAGAGTGGGAAAAGAGAGAAAGAAGGTGAGAGTAAAAAATGGGGAGAAGGGACAGTGATTCATATATTGATTCATGTAACGATTGTCCTTCAAGGTGTTTTCGTTATATATTTCAATAAAAAATGTATTTTCCTCGCTTCTTTTCCGATCGATGTTGAAATTCTTATATTCCTTCACTATTTATTTTTTACGTGCTTTATAACCCATTTTCGGGCATTGAGGAAAGACTTCATTATTTTTCTTAATTATTATTATAAATTATTAATTATTATTACAACCGTTATCATTTCGCCATTCGTTCTTTCCATCCAAGTTGTATTTATTTTAGATCTCAAAAATTCTTAACATGAAGTTGGTTGAAGACGTTGCAGAAAATTTGGTCGTCCATGTTTTTTTTTATATTAAAAATTCAAACGTCTGAATTCCAAACAATAAAACAATGAAGAAAACATTAAATAAAACTGTTAAAATTATAATTAAAATTAATATTAAAATTATCATTAAAAGTAATATTAAAATTATCATTAAAATTAATATTAAAATTAACATTAAACTGTTAAATAAATCATTTGTATTTACAAGCATATGTACATGAATTCAAAAACAGTTTTCAGTTGCGTTAAAATTTTTGGGTAGCTTTTTCACAGAAAAATCTGAAGCTAAGAAAAAAAACATTTATCGTTAGCGAAGATTTACAGATTGTCTTTGTTGTTGATTTTGGAGACGATCCGTTTGAAGTCACCGACTGGCCGTTCATGCTGTTGTTGTTGTAGGTAGTATGTTTGAAGTCGCCGACACATGTTTCTTTCAGCACGCGCTGGGGTGGGAGGAGAGGTGATGGAACAGCTATGCAACCACCTTTTCTCTCGTGTCGGAATGGTCCGAAGACAACTGCATTTCTGTCCACTGGAAGTCGAAATCTGTGGGGTTTTGTAAGAAAAAATTACCGAAATTAGGCTCGAGAAAAATAGGTATTTAGCTTTCTCTGATTGGTCAAATATTTCACAGGGCGATCTTAATTTTTAACCAACAGACACTTTGATTCAAATAGTGTGTGTTACATTTTGGAATATTTTCAGATTTTGGATTACAGGCTATTTAATTTATTCTATGCTTAGAAAATCACCATATTTACATGAATTCAAAAGAGTCAAAAAAAATAAAAATAATCTCTAGATGAGTTAAAGTCATTGGGTAGTTGGTCAACAGAAAAATCTGTAGTTCAGAATAGACTTTTAGTAGTTGATCCACAGTCAAATCTAGGCTTGAGAAAAAACTTTTGATCGTCAGCGAGGATTTACTGACCGTCCATACTGCTGTTGTTGTTGTTGTTGTTGCAAATGATTCGTTTGAAGTCATCGACGCGTGTTTCTTTCAACACGCGCCGGAAGGTGAGAGGGAAAGAGCTATGTAGCCACGTCTTCTCCTATGTTTGAACGGCTTGAAGGCAGTCGCATCTCTGCTCTTGAAAGTCGAAATCTGTGGGGTTTTATAAAAGAATTTTCCCGAAATTAGGCTCAAGAAAAATAGGGTTTTAGTATTCTTGATTCGTCAAGTATTTCACATGTTGATGTTAATTTCTAACCAATAGACACTTTGATTTAAACAGTGTGTGTTGCATTGGGGAATCTTTTTGGCATGTTTGTAAATATTGACTTATTGGGTAGAAAATTCAGTTTGGGCCTGTCTTTATATGGTATGTATGTAGGTATGCAATTGTGTTGGAAATAGCGCCCCTTTCCTATATCGTTCGTCGAGCTGAATGAATCCGATCGCAAGAAGAAAGCGATTTGCAGGACAGACGACAATCAATTAAAGAAAAAACACAAAAAAGTTGTTTATGCTTAAAATTACATACATGTATAAAAAATATATTTTAAAAAATCAAGTTTTGAGAAAAACGGCTGTACTGGTAATCAACGCGACAAAGGGAATATAACGCAACCAGCTTGACTGAAATGCAACCGAAACGTGAGTAACATGATGTTGAACGGCGCAATCTTAAAATTTTCCGTCAGTTGATTAGTTAGAAAATGTAATTAATTAAACAGTTTAGTATAATTCTTATGGAACTCTCCTGTCATTTTGTGCATTCAGTAGGGTGGGACATTAGTAATTTGCATATGAAATTTACTTCATACGTGTTGTTATTATTATTATTATTATTATTATTATTTCCTTTGATTTCTGTTGTATACACACTTCCTTCCGGGTCCCCACCAGCGACCTAAGATCAGAAATGGCTTCATGACATTTTCCGCTGATCATTTTTGTAAAAAAAAAAAAACTACGGTCACACACATTTTACAAGGATAAAAGCTCTACGTCATGTGCGAGCTGTACTTGTGAGTACAATGTTTTTATTTCTTTAAGGCTTCGGTTACCAGGAATCCCTTCAATGAGTCTTTTGCAATTAATCCGGTTTGATTGGAAAAGATTCCGATAGACTCATTGAAGGAATCCCTGGTAGCCCATGCCTTAAAGAAATACAAAAAACTGTACTCACAAGTACAGTTCACGCCTTACGTAAGGCTTTACGTATCTATGTAAAATGTGTGTGATCTTAGATTTTGGGTTTTTGTTTTCAGTTTTTTTGTTTTGTTTTTGTTTTTTCAAAATATGCTCAGTGAAAAGTGTCATGATGCTATTTCTGACCTTAGGTCTCTGGTTGGGACCTGGGAAGAAGTGAGTATACAACAGAAATCAAAGGAAGTAAAATAATGATAATAATAATAACACAGACAGAACTACTCGCCCAGACATCGGGATCAAAGACCACAAAAACAGAATGTCCTTTCTTATTGACATGTATCTTTGAAGATCTTGAAAAAAACTATCAAAATACAAGGATTTGGAAGTGGAAATATGAAAAATGTGGTACAATAATCCCAGTTGGAGTTGGAGCCCTCGGATTGATTGGAAAAGGTTCTGATAGACTCATTGAAGGAATTCATGGTAGCCCATGCCTTAAAGAAATACAAAAAAATTGTACCCACAAAGTACAGTTTACACATTACGAAGACCTTTATCTATGTAAAATTTTTGTGTGATCTTAGGGTTTGTTTGTTATTTTTGTTTTGCTTTTACAAAAATGATCAGTTAGAAATGTCATAAAGCCATTTCTGACCTTAGATCGCTGGTGGGGATCCGGAAGGAAATGTGTCATAAATCCAAGGAAGTAATAATAATATGATTATTTTTAAGGTTGAAAGTTTCATCTTTAGCTTTTCCCCGTTCAGCGGCGCTGTGCTTTTCCTGACTCTTTTCCTCTTTTTTTTCTATTTATAGGATTTATAGAACGTATTCTTCTCTTTTTCCCCTTTCTTGTCTCTCTGTTTCCTCCTTTGTATCTCTCTATTCCGTCTCACACTCTTTTTTTTTCTTCGCCTTTCCGCCTTTTTATCACTCTATTCCATCTGACTCTCTTCTCTTTTTATCTATTCACCATCCCTTTTTTCTTTTCTTTCTTTTCTTTTTCCTCTCATTTACTTTTGTCTTCTCTTACCCGCTATTATTGACGTTGTTTTTTTTTATACATAGTTTCAATGATTGCCGCCTTCTTGTCTATCACCCCGTTTCATTTAAGGTTTCTTTATCGTAAACCTGTTGTTCTGCTTACTGATTTGATACAACGATATTGAAGCAAATGAAAAGCATGAAATGAATGGCATTGTTTTTTCCTTGTGGAACCGCGCACAGCCGAGTTTTTAAAGCGAATTGTTCCAACACACCCACCACAGACATAACAAGCCAATGTTTGTTTGTTTGTTTTTTTCTTTAATATAGCTAAAATGATATATTTCTGTTTATTTCACCGATAACCTTTTCCCACAAATAATAATTCTTTTTCAAAATATCTTAGTACCAAGTCACCACTGTGTCGTCAATTTAAGAATCAAAAACGAAAGAAACGTACGTTGTATTGAAACTGGCCACGGATGCACAAGTCAATCAAAGAGTTCTGCAAAGAGTGCCAAAATTGCCAGCAAGCAAAAAATATTAAACATACCAAGAGTGAAGTACAATCATTCGAACTACCTTCTGAACACTTTCAAACAGTGCATTTAGAGACATAGTGGGTCCATTTACCGCCAGTAAGAAACCAAACAGACCCATATTTTTCGCCATATTATATTTATAACATATAACTGTCGGAGTTAACTCCTCCTTCAGTCCGTTAACCCTTTCACCAGGGGTCTCGCTTCCCTGGCTATAAATAGCCGCTGACCCTTCACATCTATCTCTTTTTCCTTCAGGATTTCAGCTATCAACCTCGAAATGTAGGCGCTAACAAGGGATAGCGTGGAAACACGCGAAGCACAATACACACACACGCACGCACATACAGAATATTCACACACGCACGCACATACAGAATATTCACACACACTTCGTCCTTTGTACTGTTTCCATGTATTGTAACTTGTTATTAATATATATTTGTATATACATATATTATCGGTCTTGTGTTTTGTTTGCTTTCTTTGCCTTCTTCTTTGGACTTAATCAAAGTCCAACCTTTTCATGTAGTTGGGCCCGGCGGGCAGGAGTATCTGAACCTTACTTGCGTTTCGTCTACGTCCTTCACTCTCAACAACAATAACCGCCATTTCCTCTACATAACTATTGACTATGATTGATAGAACTACTGGATGGGTGGAGGCGGTTCCTCTAATTGAAATTACTGCACAAAATGTCGCTACTGCATTTATTAACATATGGGCAGCTAGATTCGGAGTACCCTTATATAATCCTCAGGCGAACGGATTGAGTGAACGTGAACAGAGGATGTTACAAAACAGCAATTATTGCAATGAAGGAATGATGGATATTAGCCCTACTTATTGTACCTACTTATTAGGTATCAGAATCACAAACAACGAATCAACATATACGCCATATACAGTAGTAACGGGCTGTTATGCGCAAGTTCCAAGATTGTTAATTGATCCATGTGACAAGAATAACAATGAGGTATCAAACCTGGCAATAAAAGACCTGGTGAAGGAAATGCGAAAGTTTGACATGGAGAATCATTCTTCCGGACACTTAGATGCTTCATCAAAACCTTATATACCAAAGGACCTAAACAACTGTAAATTTGTATGGCTTAGGACTGACAGAGTTGGGAAATCTCTGGAAGCACCGTACACAGGTTCATATAAAGTAATTAGCTGTAATCATAAGTACTTAACTATTACAACTGCAGAATATGTCAATAGTAATGGTTCCATAGACAGATTAAAACCAGCGATTGTCTCAGAAATAGCGAAAATGCCTGATATTGATAAAGCAATACCAACACAATGATATGCCTCACCAGAGATCGACTAGACTATGGAGACAAAACAGCAAAGCAAAAAAAAAAAAAAACTAAGTCTGGAAGGTCAGTTACTTGGAAAAGCGACAATATATACTACTACTACTGAATTATCGACTTATTCATGTACTAAAACAGACTGCGTCAAATCTGGGAGGGGAAGTGATGTAGGGAAATCAAAATAAAAACATAGCTCTCTTTTCTTCACTGTTTTCAAATTCGCGAGCCGGTGCGAAAATCTATTTTGACCAATAAAAAAAAGGGATTGGCTCCGGTTTGAAGAAAAGACCAAAGTTTAACGAGCCTACGTGAAAATTTATTTTGACCAATAGTAAAAGAGAACGGCTTACAAACTGAGAAAAAAGTAACGAGCCGATGTCAAATCGCTTTTTGATATAAATAGACAGAAAAAGTTGAATCGGGGCATAAAGGAGAAGAGTTCCACGTGTCTGAATAAGGCCGGTGTCAAATTACACACTGATACATTATCTAATGAAAGCAGGGCAATTTTTAAAAAACTCTATTCAACTCCAACGCTAGGTACCTTAAATATATATCTTGTCATCCATGTTGAATACAACCTTATAACTTTTATGTGAAAAACGAACTCTCTCTCTCAATTTGTTTTAAATATTTTGGAATTTTACTTTTTGTGTCCGATGATTTATTATGAACATTTTCTCTTCTTGACAATTCATCGAAACTATGAACTTTAGATATTTGATTCCTTTTCTTGAAAGAAGATACTGGCAACTCTAAATGTGTAAACTTGTAAATAAATTCTTTATCTTGTTTTGTTAAATAAAACACGTTTGTTTCCTCGTCATTATCCCTCATATCCTTCAGTAACATTCAAATCCCATGTTTTCAAAAAATTTAATTAAAACATTGGAATACTTCCAGTGAAAAATATCAACAGATTGAATGAACAACTGATTGTTTGACTTAAGCTTGTAACTCCTGAGACAAAATCGTGTTGATCAATATTCTGATACAATTTCTCAAAAATGAGTATTTTGTCTTTTTCTAGAAATTGTGCCAACTCATCATTTTGCACATTTCGCACTAGAAGCAGAAATTTTGTTGGTTGGTGTTGGTTGAGGACTAATTAATACACTTATGGCAAATGATTAAATATTGATGGAGGTTTTCTGGGTCGTACTTTTCTTGCAATAACCAATGTTTCATAGTAAGATGGAAAAAGTCTCCCACAAACAATAGTGCTTGGGTTTTCAGGGGTGTTGTCTTGAGGTATAGCCATTTTAAAAACCATCGTTCTCGCTCATTCTAATCTTGGGGAAGACAAAATACAGAAAATTTATTCTGTTAATCATAGTTACTATGACAACCTGTTACACGGTATTTTTTTACCATTTTTTGAGAAAGGTTTGAGGGTACTGAAATGAAAAAAAATATTAACTTTTAAACTATTATTTTGTAAAAATTACATGGCGCTTCTAAAAAGTCTTTGAACCTTATATTCTAAGGTCTGGAGGGTTTAGGATTCAGAATTAAGGATTTCAAAGTTTGTATGAATGTGGGAATTTGTCATCTGATTGTACTTTTTGTTGTCTTTAAGGAATTACATGATTCCAAAGGATTCCCAAATTGTTTGACTGGTTGGGGTCCGTTTTATGTTGAAGTTACATAGTGAACTAAACATCCCTCGTTAAAATTTTTGGATAAGGTATTTTATGGGGGGGGGGTGCGGATCGCTCCCCTCCTCTCCCATGAAATACGATTATCTAAACAAAGTTTATCATTTTAATATTTTTACAGTATATTTTTAAAAAAATATTAAACTGGTTATTTTATTATGTTTTTTTTTTACATTTTTAACAAAAATGCTAGTAAAATCCAGCATACATTATTTTTTAAATACACTTGTTATTAGTTTTTTAAATCAATGTTTGTTATGATTAATAATATCATAGAAGAATTATTAAATTAAATTTTTAATTTTTTTTAAATGCGCAAATTTTTGCAAAGTAATTTTGGAAAATTAGCAGTGCAAAAAATGACATTCATTTTCTTCTTTGTTTTCTTATAAGGACTATATCAACATAATTTACATGTTATAAAGAAAGCACAAATTATTTCTTAAAAACTGAATTTTATAATCAAGATATTCGTTATTATGAAGAATAATAGCATAAAGAAAAAATAAATTAACTTTCTGTAAAAATATTCTTAATAATGACAATTTTTTTGTGAATTTCGTTGTTTAAAATAATCGGAAAAATATTTAAAAAAAAAGACGATATTGACAACACAATATTTTCTCATTGTATTTTTATGGTATATTTTTAATAGTTGTATAATATTAAATTTATTGAATTTAATTTTTGACCTTTGTGATAAATTCTTAATATTATTTTTCATTAATTTCGCAGTGAAAAACGTTACCTTCGTTTTAAATGTCTTCTATTTACTTACGAATGACAAAAAACCCAACATACTTTTAAAAAAATAATACCTGTTTGTTCTGTTAAAGAAAAACATAAATTATTCATAAAAAATAATTTTATTAATATCGTCATTGTTGAAGAAGAATAGCATAGAGAAAAACATTAATATATATTAACTTTTTATTTTTGTAACAAAATTCTTAATGATACTTGTGAATTTCGCACCGAAAAAGTTTGTTTAAAGATAAAAAATATTGCAAGTTTAGATAAAATAAATATTCATTACTTCAGTATCTTGAATAATAAACTTAATCCAAAGGTAAAAAGTAAAAAATAACTTTAAAAAAAAAAACTTAATTCTTTATTCAATTTCAACAACGAACTTTCGCATGTTGACAGTTGGCTCCCAGTCCCAGAAGAGCTACACGCGCTATTTAGGCCTGAGTTAATGATCGCCTTGTAAACATCTCTTTTTCTTTAAAAAAAAAGAAATTCCCTTTATTTTTTTCATAATTTTCTCTACACATCTATGTATGTATGTATCTTTCTAAGGAGATAATGGACTTTATTTTTCATTCGATTCTACTCCTTATTACTTAAGCATCATATTTTAGTGAATACACGTGTTTGAGTACACGTCCAGATTTGTGTGTGTGTGTGTGTGTGTGTGTGTGTGTGTGTGTGTGTGTGTGTGTGTGTGTGTGTGTGTGTGTGTGTGTGGCTTTTAACAGTTTGAATTACATCTACCGGCCTGTGCATTCAAGAAACTTAATGTACACTTCAGCAGGGT